ACGTCTTCAGGTCCGGCGCGCAGGCGGTCACGATGCTCAGGCACTGCACGAGCTGCGCCAGGATGGTGGGCAGCGCCATGTGGAACGTTGCGTCGCCCTTGTCGATGATGTCGTGAAAGACGACCATGTGGCCGATGATTGCTGGCGTGACTCTAGAGCAGATTCAATGTTTGTTAAAAACCCGCTCCCCATGGCCGAGGGTCGCTGCGACTCACAAGATGCGACTCCCAAATACACCTCCTACCAGCATCTTTTTCGACATTGGTAGCTGGAGGTTGAAGGAAATGGTGAGCATGATGGTGACAATGGCAACGTCAGTCGCGATGTCGCCGACGGCGACGTATATCCAAAAGGCAGCCTGCACAGTAGTCAATATCGGCACACCGCTCGCGGGGATTCTCCCAAGCATACCCGCTGGAAACATTGGCCGGACATGTAATCCCACGGAATCGGTATCCCGCACTGCAAAAGGGCCGGAACGATCGACGTCAACGCCCAGAGGACGATGAAGGAGCAGGTGACGATGACGGTGCGTCTGTGATACAGCGGCGCGAGCACCCAGAGTGTCGTGATGGCGGATAATTTGGCCAGCGTCATACTAGCAATAAAGAGAGCACCGGCAGCATATTGGGCCTAGTCCGCCGTGAGCTTCAAGACGAACCCCCTCCCCACCAAAAAGAAGTGCATCTTACCTTGAGGACATACGTGACATGATCGCGGCGCAGATCATCCAGGTGCTGGCCCAGCCCGTTGTCTGCTTCTGCAACAACCACGACAGACTGCGCAACTGCCAGGGCCTATTAAGCAATAGGGCCAAATAGTTCCATCATCAGCACAGTGCCCTCGGGCAATTTCCAGCAGGGGGGCGCACTTACGGTGGCCGCCATGGCGAGTTGGTCATCTAGACTCAGTTTCCTGACGGTGAACCATTTCATGGAAATTCGCGTGATGCAAGACAGCAGCCCTACCACCATCAAGAACAGCGTCGTTGCCCTCACCAACAAAGACTTGTTGTGCATGGAGAGATCATGATGCTGCTCCATCATGTCACTGTTGGGGAACGCATCAAGTCTCTTTGCCACTTGTGATCTGCGTCAGCTGCCTTGACGGGAGAGACTTGTTTTTTTTTTTAAACAAAAAAGCCAAGACAGTTTGTCAGAGGAACAATATGCGAGACAAGTGCAGGAGCTGGATTTTCTCTTTTGGAGAAACGTGCTCTGCACAACGGATCGAAAGCGAAAATAACTACCCCTTGTCGTAATCCAACTAGGCTCGACTGACATCTGCATGGAACGGAACGGACCAAGTTCTAGCAAGCTTCTCGCAACGGAAACGAAAACGCACGCATTCAAGGTGGCAACCCCCCCCCCCCCCACAGTTCCCATAATCGCAAATACCACAC